ATATATCCTCCGCGAGGACGCCCGTGAGATAAAGGATGAAAAAAACCGAAGAGAGAATCGCACGGAAAAAGATGAGCACCAAGCAATGCCGAATCGTGAATTTAGCGCGGAATCGGTAGCGTGGCATGGCTGCGGGACGATAAATCGGCATGGCCAACTGCTCGAGTCAACGAGCCGTGTCCAGTTTGCCGCCCCTCGCCAGAGAGTGGTTCGGTGGACGCGAGTTCTCGCGGGGAGGAAAAGGGACGAGGGAAACGAAGAGTCGCCGCGGGAAGCGGAAGGGTGAGAGGGACTATCCCGACATTCACCACACGCTATTCTTCATACTCCATTATCCGTGCTCTACTCCACTCTACTCCATTATGCCGGCACCGCGTATAAACGACGAGTCGTACCCACCCCCAAACCTCCCGACGCGAACCGCCATATGTCCATCAGGTTACTCGTCGTCCTCGCTGTGTGCAACAGCGATAAACACTAGCCCGAGCGCGGTAGCTCGGTTATCGAATGAGAAAAGTACGCTGCTTTATGCAGACCGCTTCATAATCCGCATCAAACTTCGCCGGAGTATATTCCTTTGACCAATTTGAGGTCAACTTTTCGTTTATGAAATTCAAACATAATTACGAATGTTGTTAATTATTAAGAGTTTCGACGAGGTAAAAATTACTCGAGAAATTATAATTCCCAACAAACAACGGATACTCTATTTTTCTTCCAACGATATTGTATAAATACAATACATGGAAAGAACGATTTGGTCAAAGTATCGAAAAGTTTAGCTAAGCACAGATCTGAAAATAATTTTATTCGACTACCAAAATAATTATCTATGTAGGATGATTAAGTTGCAGTTGCTAGAATAGCTTTTCACAGCATCGCTCTCATCGTGCTTGAATTGCTTACACAATTATTTTGATGGTTTAACGAAATTATTTCTCCAGATCTGCATCCCCATATCTATTTTTCGATATTCAGCAAAATCGTTCTTTCCGTATATTATTATCTGCATAATTATGTTACAATACATATTGTAGTTAAAATTGAAATTGATATTCGAAAGAGGGTGGCGTGCCACGCCTTTAAAAACATGTAGTATCGAGATATGCCATTTACAGTGATAAACTTAACTTGTACTAAATATGAAACACGCCTTCATCATACACGTACATACGACTTGGCTCGAGCTATGAGGCAGACGCAAATTCCCCTCCCGAGACCAGGTTTAATTAAATCTTTTGCAAATTTGCATATACGCACTTCCGTCAGTGAGAATCCTTTAGAACCCTTGGCGTTACCGAGACCCCAGTAGAGATTCGTTTCCCTACCTACCTGTTATGTAGATCTGCCACTAGTCCTCTGAGATGATGATGATGATAATCTGAGCGAAGACGAAAGGCTTCGAGAGGAAGGATACCGTCCAAAAAATAAGAGACACTAAAAAGAAAAAGAAAAAATTGAAATATAAATATTACGTGAGAAAAATAAGAGATTCTAAAAAATAACAGTACGTGAAATCGATGTGAAAAAAAAAATATATGTTCTAAATTATGTTGAAAATTCGAGGATGATAAATCAAGGAGATGGACGCAGCGTAGGAGATTAAAGAGAAAAGTCAAATAGATATATATTTTGAAATACACTTTTACTTCGACTCGGTCAAAAACTACGATAACAATAGGTCGGTAGATATGTATATCGGAAATCATTTTTGGAAACGCAGAGTGCCCGTCGCCGGTTTACAAAAACGGATAAGCTTCTCGCCGGCGCGGCGCGGTGCTTCTCGCAAAGCTATTTTGCGAGTTGTTCCACGGGCTTTCGTTTCTTTGGCAGAAATTTCGATGTAAGATCTTCGATTCCGGCACGTTCGTTCATACGTTCGTTGAATGCTTGCGAGCATTTCGGCCGCTCGCGCGCTCTCCGCGACGACATTTTCACGCGACAAGAAAAACTTTTTCACCTCTCACGCGAATTGAAACCCATTCGATTTTATCATCGGCTCGACCCGAACGTGACCACACACGTGATAGCCTTTCGCGAATCAGTCGATTTCTCAGGGTCGCTGCAAAAAGGGTTCTCGCCGAAAGCGTGGAGCCAGATTTCTTCAATCCGAAAGATGGTCTTTTTTTCTTAAAGGAAAATGCGGGTCGAAGGGAAACCAAACGCGCAACCTTGAAGATACATATGTATTTACAAAAAAGAAAGGAAGCCAATCGCCACCGTCAGTGACTCGACGATATTGCACGATCCCGCAGCAGTCGTTCGCAATTATATACTATGAAAACGTAATCGATGAAACTAAATCGCATCGCTCAAAACGACGGCGAATAATGATTCGATGAAACGACAATGTTCTAGCTTTATGTACACGTATATACATCTTGCGGATATCATTATTGTAATCGTCATCACCATTTTCACACCCGCGCTCGCTCTTTCGTACGCAATTCGTTCTCACTTAATTACAAATCTCCCTTCGCTCATTTGCACCCCTAAAATTCATTGGCGTGAGACGCACAACCGGTAAAACAATTTTTTTTTTATTTCCCAAAGCTTTCCGGAAAGAACGTCCCGCTCGACGAACGGACTCGCTCCTCGAGTACCTTTCCGGATCAAGTTTTAATGCCCACTAGTGCTAATTCGCTATCGAGAATCGTCCTCGACACTTGGATAGTTCTCAAAGAATCACCACGTCACATTACAATCATCGATGTCACAATAGCCGATAGCCTCAAGAGCGGATCAGTTAAGCGTTACTTCCCTCTTGTCTTCCAGGAGTTGCCACATTTCTCGATAGTCGAATTGTTAGATAAGAAATCGCTCGCTTCTGTCTCTCAGTACGGTCTCCAGACGTTGTTATCCGGTCTGACTTCCTCTTGCCTCACGCTGCAACTATCCGCGACGGCCCTCTGCTCGGCGCTCTCGGGATTCTGGAACTGATTCCCGTAGAGCTGGGAGTAGAGGATGCTGGGAAGCACACCGGGCGTTGGAAAGTAGTTGCCGTAATTCTGCCCAAAGCCCTGTTCCTCGTGTACCGGGCTCTCGGTTGTGCTAGAGTCAGTGGACAGTGATCTGGGCGACACGTAGTCCTGATATCTCTGACTGGAAGAGCCACCGGACATGAGGCTGCTCAGTGGATCCAATGGATCGGACTGACCCGGTGTCGTGGTATCCGGTACGACTGTGACATTCGAGGAAGGAGAAGCTACGCTACTTCAGTTCGCCAAAGACAAACAGGTCGACTGATCTTGCCTCTCGAGAACTATGATTCTATTGATCTTTCGAATAATTACATTTTCAACCATGAGGCTATGGCGCTTCCGATTTATTCTTCAAGCTTTTCACACAAGTCAAAAATTTGGCAAATTATATTTCTTCAATTTATATAATCTCGTTACGATTAAGTAAACTTCATTGATTTTTATTATAAAATTATCATAGCTCTCTCTCTCTCTCTCTCTCTCTCTCTCTCTCTCTCTCAATATTCAGAGAGTCAAAGTTAAACGAAATACATGAGAGAAAAATGTTTAGTATTTGTAACTATAATTGCATGGTAAAATAATTATGGTTAAAAACTTTATTCCTGTAGTTATTATTATAATGTTAATAACTAAAAAATAACAGTTGATAATTATAAAGTATAACTATAAAAGTAGAGCTCCTAACATATAAATAATTCAGCGTAGCAAATTACTTTATAATTTCATTTTACCATGCAATTACAGTCGTAAATACTAAACGCTCTTCTTTCAACACCGAAAGAACAATTTAGCTAAAAGATATGAAAGAGTGACCGCAAAAATCGTCCGTTTTTTAGGCCTTCAATTTTAGAACTGAACTGTGTGTCACATTTTATATTTAGACATTATATTTATAGAAATTAATCACAGAGAAGTTTTAAATATGAGATGACAATTATTATCAGAGTTGGAAGGGATGGAATCAAACGGATTTTCGCAGACGTAATACGACCCTCTCCAACTATGATAACAATTGTCACCTTAACCTGAAACTTCTTTGTAATGAATACTCTCATTGTAGAGTATCATTTGGCACACAATTCCTTTCTTGCGGTTTACTCTTTTTCAAATCTGAACAGATTTGAAAATAATTTTGTTGAGCCATCAAAATAATGTCAGAAACTGAGGAGAAAGAAATGATGAGCAATGTTGAAAAAATTTTCGATATTTATAGCAATTAATTTGAGTTTCTAATAAAATTATTTTGATGGCCCAACAACATTTATTTTCAGAGCTATAATATATCCAAGAAAATTTTCGATCTTTCAATAATCAAATCGTTCTTTCCGTGTAATAAACGGACAATTAAGCGACACCTCATGGTTGTTCGCACTCGTCAAAAGCATAGCAAAATTCGGCGTGCAGCGAGCTAAACTTACGAGAGGAGACCGCGGAAAAAGCGTCCTGCTGCGACGTGGTGCCGGTATTACCGGTGCCGGATGTGACAGTCGAACCCGCCGTCGAATCCGGTGCAGTCGGCGTAGTCATGGAGGCCGTGCCGGCGAAAGATGCCAGCGTGGACGACGGCGGTGGTGGCGGAGGGGGTGGCGGCGGGGGTGGAAACGAGGCCTGTGCGGCGCACGACGAAAGGGGACCCGGAAGGTAGCCGGCGTAGCCGGCCGTGCTACCGTATCCCCAAGAATTGCTCGCTGTCAGGCCAAACTGGGACATATCTAGAGAAACCAACTTTTGCCAACGCTTCGCCAAGAATACGCGACAAAGGAAAAAAAATCGACAATCGCACAAGCGAAGAATGTCTTTGCAAAAATTAAAATACCAAAGCATTATCGCCGTCAAGATGCCTACTGTGACAAAATCAATGGCTGCGTGCAGTAGAAAAAGCTTTGGTACTATTGTAAGAGAGAGAGTTTGTAAAAGATTCTTTAATATGATTGATTTATATATATTTATATCCATTGAGGAGCTATATAAAATCTGTTTAATCACATTAAAGAATTTTATAATATCATATTTGCAAGGCTGCTTTTTCTGCTGAACACAGCTAATGAACGACGAGCACAATAAACACTACAAACAAATATGTATAAGAAAAGCTGACTAATATAAAAACATCGATAGCAATGACAGTCGCATCGGCGGAACAGCTAAATAATAATCGCAACAATCGAATAAAACAACAAGAAGACTGTAAAGGAAAATTGCACGGGAAAATTTTCGCCGGATTATATGCCAATTCGAATCACTTGGCGAGATGCATCGGCGGCGGCGGCGGCGGCGGCGACGGCGGCGGCGGCGGTTCTGTGCGCCCCTTGGCGGATGTATTTTTGCGGGGTATAGGCAGCATCCCCGATAGATTTTCCAATGAGTCACGGGGGTTGAATGCAGAAAGGACGAGAGCACGAGCGCTTGCGAGAGGGACACGGGCGGACATGGCGGAGAGTGAGGGGAACGGAAGAGTACATCGAGATCAAAGGGTTGGTCATCCCCCGCGTAGCTGGGGCCAACTCAAATAACCGAGCCCGCCTCGGCAAGCGCCACCGGACCGTCGTCACGAGAGCTAACCCTAAATACTGCTATCCGCCCGGTGCTTTCACATCCTTCGGCATTACCGGATTCCTTGCGGTCCGAAGAGGTGGCCCTTTTTATGGAAAATCGCCTAAAGTTACGCACGAGTTTATCCGAAGTATTCGGAGATTCGTTGCGGAATCCAAATACCTGAGTGAGTCCCGTCTCGACTCGCCATTTATGAAAAAAAAAAAAAACGTCGACGCGGTTATTTTTTAAACAAAACTTTTATTTTAAATACATATATTAATCCTCCAAAGCTGATGTTTGGACCCGCAAAACTTATTTAACTTATTTCATTAAAAGACACTAATCGATTTCGAAGAACGAAAATGACATATCGTACAAAGAAGAATAAATATAATATTAAATACACTTTAATAAGAATAATCGAAATTTATAGATATAACACAAAGAGAGTTAAATTGTACATTTTTTACAAAAATTCATAACTGAGCGGGTCCAATAAATCCACCGTTGGCTCCAGAAGGTTAATTATATCGAATAAAGATAATTACATCACAACGTAACGTGTACTATATTCTAAGCTTTTACAATTTTAACAGAGAGAAGTAATCCCGTATACGCAAGTGTCTCCCGAAATCGAATCCGCCAAGCGTATAGCGTGAGAATAATATAGCCGCGTACGCATATTATATCGGACCAGATGCCCGATGAGGGAAAAAAAGTTAATAAAGGAAATATTCAGCGTGCTTCGTATTTTATCGGGAAATTTGCTAGTAACGGAGCAGTCAGCCCTCATGTCTGAGGTAACTCATTAAAACGGCTGATCTCGAATTATTGTTTAAGCTTTTTTTTCTCGTCTCTTCTTGCGCACTCTACCAGCACCGTTTATCGATGTACGAGCGCTCGAGAAGAGTATTAAAAATTTTTATCGTACAATATATATACATGCTACATATACCGTTCGCGTGCGTTCGGCGGTCAGATTTGATCGTGGCGATCAGCACAGCACAATTTTAATCAACGAGCGACAGCTTCTTTTTTGAATAATCGAAATCAACGGGCAACATTCCCTCGACATTACTTTGCCAATGCGTTTTATGCGCAAACTCGCGAATCTACGTTATAAACGTGGAGAGAGAAGGTGAGGCTGCGCCCCCCAAAACACAGGGAGCCAACCGACTGGGACGCGCTTCCGTGGCAACCCCTTTAATATAATATTTAATCTAGCTTTGAACAGGCTTGCGGTTTCCGCTTCTGAAGCCGAGAAGCTTGCTGCCGAGCCTACCCAAAAGCCATGCTTCTGTACTCAGACCAGCAGCAGAGAGTCTGAAAATATTCCCAAACTCAACAGAAGCCGCCTACTCGATGACAAAAATTATTTAAATTTCATAACGCCATAAACGAGAAACTGATCGTAAAGTAAAATTAAAAAAGATAACTTCCTCGCACGCGATTAAATTGTTCGCGTGTATTTTATATATTTTTTTTTTGCCACACATTTTTGCAATACAAGCTACTTTGGAAATAATTCATTTGAGAAACCTATAAAATGGAACAAGCGCTCACGCACAAGTCGGATACAGAAAGAACGATACGCATGCATACACATAGATAAGTCATTGTGAAAGAGATTCAGAACGAAGCCGCATAATGAAAGCAAAGTCACGATCATGCGCAGACGCGGTTACTTACTCTGACAATTACCAGGCATCGCGTGTCTAAAAGAAGACAACGGATCCCTCGGCTGGAGCGGATTCGGTAACGGTTGCAACGGATTTGGCAGAGGTTGCAACGGGTCCACCAGGGGCGAGGCGAAGAATGGACCGCCTCGTTGCGAGGCGAACGCAAAGGCATGAAACTGTTGTTGCTGCCCTAAAAGAGACAGCACTGCGATCAACCGTGCGCCTGTCCACTGGACCTCCGGTACATGTATCAATCGCACATTTTGTCTATGTGCGATTAACAAACTTTTCTTTTTATCGCACTCGAGTGTGAAAGTATTACAACTTTATTTACGCGTACAAATATAATAGAAGTAAGAAGTCCTGTAGAATTTGATAATGATACAATTTTTTTCCGGTGAAAATGTACGAAAAAAATTCGTACATTTTCTAGCCTGACAATTGGTGGAAGGTGCATCTTTCATTTATCGAAACGACAAATGGAACAATACGGGTAAACGCCGTAGCCGTCCCTTCGGAAGCCGGAACGAACGAGGGAGACACGAGAGAAGCATCGATACATTTTATTTCCCTGCGATGGTGTCGCCAACCCAATTAAAGACGTCCCAACAGGCAGACGTCCTATCCGGCTGTCCCTGACTACAGGTCGCCGCACAGGACAGCCGTGTGCCATACCATGCAGGTTCGTTCTCTTCCCCTAAAGGCAACGATTCAACGTTGGGAAGGCACCGGAGGCCAGAGAGAGAGAGAGAGAGAGAGAGAGAGAGAGACCGACGCGAAGGGTCGCTTGGGCGGAAGAGAGGTGGCGGACTCCCGTCGTCCTGATAATCCAATCGAAGCCCTAATTCTAACTCGGCAACCCGAAATTCCCGCCGGTTTGCTGAATAGGGTACGCTCGATCCGGGGACACAATGGGGGCGCGACGGCGGAATACCGACGGGTACCGAGACTAACGAGATCCTGTTAAACGACTGGCGATTCACGAACACATTGCAGAAGCCAGAGAGAAGCCCGGGAGAAAATTTTATGAACCAGTAGAGGTCTCTTAGGTAAAGCACCTTTTAAGAAGTAAATAATTTGTCGTGCCGTAAGTTTAAGTAAATTCGATTTTCAACGCTACCTTTTACGGGATGAGAAATGGGCGCATGCCATGCGACCGGAACGCGGGCGATCGGAAAACGGCAACTTCGAACGAGGATTTGTTTTGAGATACCGATAGTTTCCTACGCTGGCGGCTTGATAGATTTAATAAATTATGCCGCTCGACCCATGCATTTATCACGCCACCCTAACCCTTTGAATTCGGCGCACCACCGTTCTTCGCAGTATTTCATTAGGCGTCGAGCACTCGTGCGACCCTCCGAATAGACGTGCGATCGTTCGCTCTTCTAAACTCCACATCGCTTTCCCGTTTAAACGAAGTAGCAAATAATCAGTGGTCAATCTTTCACGTAACTACTCCACTATTACTCTCCACGAATAAACACTTTTGCGTGGAAAAAATGATGTTGCATTAACAACATTAGCCGACGGTAGTCTGATTGAAAACAAACTTAATTTATCGAACAATATTATTGAAACAAATATGCCGTACTCTTGTTTTAATAAATATTTTTTATTTATATAATAATTTTTACAGAAAAGTCACTATAGTGACGCTAAAACAGCGTCATATTTCGAGGCAAAGAATAGAATAAAATAGATGAAAATATTATAAAAAATTTTACACTGAAAAAATACTGGTTGCATTAATTAGAATTCTAGTGGAAAATCGAGAAGTCAAAATTCAAGATAATCAGATGTCTAATTATGCTGCGCGGAATTTTGACTGATATGATCAGAATTTACTGGTTCATACATTTTCTACCAGAAATTTTTTTCAGTGTACTTACGAAAAAAACTTTAAAATCTTAAAAATATACTCCCATTCTCTCTAAAAGTTAATGTTATTGAATAATTAAGATTATTTTAGATAGATAGATAGGTCGCGGCTGATATTGTTAATACATCTTTTTTGTCCATATATAAGACGTGTCATGATCTTTCAAGCATCTTGATTAGATATCCTCATTCTGGATCATTGCAGCAGACGATGACAGCACTTCCGGATTTATTCTTCCGTGGAACGGGAAATGTTTGGCGATTGGATGAAATCGTAAGTCCTTGGCAAGTCGCGGCTATCGATTTCATTGGACACCCTCTTTGCGCTCCGTGACTGCCAGGGAATTTCTCGAGAGTTAGCAGCTGGCAACGACAGATCCTCATTTCGTCCCGTCGCCAATTCCCGCCCCCCCTCTCTCTCTCTCTCTCTCTCTCT